GAAAAAGAGCAGTTAGTATGGTGCTCGTGCTTTATGACTGTAAGCCACCCTGTTGCACATTTGGGCCACTGCTCGAACCAAACCCTATAACTTTGCTAAATGAAGCATGGATGATACACTCGCGCACTTTCGGCTGCAAGACTGTAAAACATTTTAATGGAAGAGGCTCGTAATTCATAATGGTCAAATTACTAAAGCGGTCAAAAAGGAAAAACAAGCCTTTTGAGGGCTTCATATATTCCACGGAGATAGATTAGATTACATTGGAGCTCAGCTTTTCCAAGATAAGATCATTTTTAGATGAGTCTGTGATCTGCATACTAAATTTGTCTGTGTGTGCCTGTTTATTTATAATCCTACAGTTCAGACATGTTTTCAAAGTAGGGTGGGCGACAGAGATGTTCGCAAGTCGCTTCATGCAAGTCTGAGTTGAGTCTTGAGTTTCTGAGATGCGAGTGCGAGTCTCAGTTCTCTAAAGTGGAGTCTCAAGTCTCTGAGGTGCAAGTCTGAGTCAGGCCTGTAGTTCCTGAGGTGGGAGTCCTAGTCGAGTCTCTGAGGTGTGAGTCAAGTCCTAAGTCTCTGAGGTGCAAGTCAAGTCTTGAGTCTCTAAGGTGCGAGTCTGAGTCTTGTCTTTGAGGTGTGAGTCTGAGCCAAGTCTTGAGTCTCTGAGGTGTGAGTCTGAGTGGAGTCTTGAGTTTCTGAGGTGCATGGCCAAGTCAAGTCTCGAGTCTCTGAAGTGTGAGTCTGAGTCAAGTTTTGAGTCTCTAAAGCCTGAGTCTGAGTCGAGTCTCTGAGATATGAGTCTGAGTCGAGATGCGAATATGCGGTGAGTCTCAAGTCTCTGAGGTATGAGTCTGAGATAGGTCTTGAGTCTCTGGGGTACGAGTTCGATGTGAGTCTGAGTTGAATCTTGCAACTCTGAGGTATGAGTCAGAGCTGAGGTGCGAATATGAGTTGAGTCTTGAGTCTCTGGGGTACAAGTCCGAGTTAAGTCTCGAGTCTTGGTAGAGAACCTATCAGGTTCAACGCAGCTTTAAATCGTGAGCCTTTCATTACAGAAAAAACTGAAGTCTAATAGACAGAACTGAAGCGCTACACACGGTAAATACAGTGCTTAGAATAAAGGAGCAAAACAGTTGGAAACCACTGCTTAGTCTGTGGTATGTAAGTATGCTTGCTGGCTGTCATAATAGCTAGTACGTTTTCAAGGAATGTGATCTATAATTTGCAAAAAACTTCAGCTAGATTAGCTAAGAACATAGGGATGAAGATAGGGATGTTACGTAACCTAACAGATGCCTCTATTGGCTAGTTTCAGGGAGGTCCGTCCTACCCACCCAGAGAGAGCGAGGCCAACTATTCTCTCATGGACTCCCAGCCACGGATGACTGTGGTATCGCCTGGTAGAACACTTGCGATCAAACTTGCTTACTGTGCCACTCAGGAGTCCCTACAATAACACATTTTCATCCCTATTTTCAACCCCTCATGTCCACTTTGCGATGTGTGGAGCGAGTGATATACAGGTGCTATCCTACTGCAGTTTTGGAGCATTTGTTTAGAGCTCTGGTGAGAGCACACTATAAAAGTGTAGCTTTCTCACGCAAGATGTTTGTTACTACTGTTTCTCTTTTTGAGCCCAAAGCAGCCCCCAGCATCCCCTCAAGCTCACCTCAGCGGGAAAGAGTGAAGAGTCGATATCTCATCTTCCCCCCCTCCTCCGTCCATCACAGAGGAGAAGAAAGAATGGAAATGCCAGAGGTGCTGCGGTTCAGAGAGGGAGGGTGCAAATGCCAGACACCTCCCATCACTCCCTCTCTCCATATTTCCTTTAAGATAGAAACTGAGGGACTGAGAGAGGGGAAGGGAAAGAGAGATACAGAGAGAGAGGGTGAGAGAAAGCAGGGAAAGAGAAAGTGAACAGAAGAGACAGAGTTAATGTGAGGATAATGACTATTGACCTCCATGCTGTTGTGTCAGAGTCCCGCTGACAGCCTGTCCCTCCCCACCCCTAATCCTGCTCGCCTTCACCTGACTGTCTGAGTGTAATATCACTGGGCCCCATGCTGGGGATCAAGGTCAGGTGCATTCTGGGAACAGGGCACAGTTCAGTGAAGATTAAGTGGTGACGAGCAGGCCTGGCTTTTATATGTTGCTGTTATAGCCGGCGCATCCCTGGTTGGAATTGCAATCTTCACGCTGAAGGTCAGCATGAACCTGGAAAAGCTTGCAAGTTAAAAGCCACGTCAGAACAGTCATGCTAATGCTTTTGTAGGCTTTTTATTTAAAAAAGGCTACTTCTTATAAGGCTCTTTTGAAAGACCTTTTGACTCTTTGGACTTCAGGCAATTCTTATCATCTATAGTTCATTGCTATTCATGAGTCTTTTCATTTGCTCAGCAGATAGCGACTACACATTTTTGGAAAAGTTCAATTTTCTAAAGTGTGAACATTTCTGCGGTCTGAATTAAAGTCTAAAAACATTCTAAAAACATAATCATACCTTAAGCTCTTCTATTCACCCCTCCTGTACATTCACAAGAAGTGACTACTGCTCCTGTTATCTTCTAATTGCCCCTTTGGCTCATTGCTGGTGCAGACATTTGCTTTCTTTTGGGACAGTGCTGTTGTATTAATCCAAAATTAATTAAACCTCCATTCAGTTCTAATGAAGCCGGGTCTGTATTCCTTTTAAAGACTCCATCTTTGGCTCAGTTCCTCGAGGTTCCCAATTGAGGATGCTCTGTTTCCTCTAATAAGCATATCCGTTATCTGATAAGATGGATAAAGGCCTGCGCTCCTTCGTGCTTTGTGCATCGGGAGCCAAACACGGAGCAGAGCGATATGGACGGATAAAAATCCATGAGCCGCAGATGCTGGGAGTGGAAGAGTAGTGAGGAGAACGGCCGCTCCTGTGCTTCCCCATCGATTGCTCCGTGGTCTCTGGAGTTCACATGGAAAACAAAGCATTATTATTCATGTCCATATTGATCAGCTCCACATTTATTAATATCATCATCACTGGAGAGGTAGCTTAATTACCCTGGAGCTTGTCTGGTGGGCCAGAGGGGCAGGGAGGGCATCGATCCGGAGAGAGAGAGTGCTTGCAGTTGGTTAATCCACCAGTAGATACAGACAAACTGAATTATCTTACACAGGGTTGGACAGGTGAAGGAAGAATGGATTGCAGTGGAGGGAGGCTACCCGCTCCATATAGCCTAATGGATAGAAACCAGGGCACTGTGAGGGGACGAAAGTGAGAAAGAGAGAGAGAGGGAAAGGGAAAATGACCAAGAGACAGAGGGAATGTGAGGATGATGACTCAGGATAAATAGACGGACAAGATGAGATTAGTGGTGATATGATACACTCGGCTCACTATTCCATTCGATTCACAATGCTGAGTTCACGATTCTTACAATGTTAGAATGTCAGCAGCTCAAAATGCGTGACGGTTTATTCTGTCTTCATGTGCTTTTAGAATGATCATAAATACATTCCCGACCTAAAAGTTGCACATGACCAGCTTTTCTTCCAAGTTGTCATTGGGTCGATGACAAAGACCTTCAAAATGATCACGAAAAAATTCTAAAATTAAAATTTATTAAAATATATATTTAAAAATGATGAAAAAGGATATGATTTGTGTATCTGCAAGAATCTATTCAAGCTTTCATAATGGTAGAAATTAATTTTTAAATAGTATCATCAGTTTTACCACCTGGAAAATGTCTATTGGCACAATTTAATTAATTAAAAATATTATTTAAATACAGCACACACGCTCTCAATCTGTCTGTGTGGGTAGGAATTCCCTCCCACTCCCCCCATCACTCAGCAGATCACTCAGTTATTTACAGCTACTAAAAAAGTATGAACTAGACTTTGTACTTAGACACCCATATAAACCTTTGTCCTTAAACTCAAGGTTAATCATTTTTATCATCAAATAAATAATTGTTATTATAATAATAACACATATTTGTCATTTTGGTGGGGTTACACCTTCTGACTTGGTAAACTGAAATAGCCCATGACTCAAAAATTAAAATTTTCTCAACAATTGTGAAAAGGCTACTGACCATGAAGGTCATTTGGGGCCTACTCTTTCCTAAAAGCATGTCACAGTAAAAGTCCTTTGTAGTCAGTTGTGCCACGTGACAGTTGAGGAAATCAGAACAATAGGACAAAAGTTTTACAATTAGTTGAATATTTTTAAAGTTGCCTATTTTGTCTGCATTTTAAACAGTTTCAAACATAAAATCTTGCCAAAATATTTTATTAAGAAGGGTAACTAAATTCCCCTTTTTAACCTGCATATATATATATATATATATATATATATATATATATATATATGTATGTATTTGTTAAATTGTTGGACACAAAAACTGTGAAGACTTATGTTTTTAAAACCAGTACAATACTTTTAATGTACTAAAATGATAAAAATCCATATTGCAGAACATTAATAGTTAAATCAGTAAAGAATAGGGAAAAGTTGCACCCCCAATCTTTTTACAATATGGAATGTGTTGGAAAGATACCGAAATAGTTAAGGAGTTAAATAGTTGACAACAAAACACTTGCAAATGCAAAGAAGGTGTTTATCATTAGGGTTTTGCAAGGAAAATAGGACATGAAGAGTGTGTGTGTGTGTGCGTGCGTGTGTGTGTGTGTGTGTGTGTGTGTGTGTGCGTGTGTGTGTGTGTGTGTGTGTGTGTGTGTGTGTGTGTGTTTGCGCATTCGTTTGTTCAAGAACATTCGTGTGCCGACACATCTGTGGTCACCATCATCCTCTTCTAAAGAAAAACACTGTTCTGATCATCCTTGATGACTGATGCTCTTCTGTCACTCTGAAACCTTTCAAATCCCTTCACCACTCGATCATTGTTGAACCTCTGGCTCTCCAGTCTGGCCCCTCTGCTTCTACCGCTGACTCCACTGCCCCCTGTCCAGCCCACCCACCCTATCCTCTCTGTGGCCTTCCCTCTCCACAGGTGGGTGATCAGATCCTGGAGGTGAATGGGCGGAACTTCCTGAGCATTCCTCACGACGAGGCCGTGCGCGTGCTCAAGTCCTCCCGACACCTGATGATGACCGTGAAGGACGTGGGCCGGTTGCCGCACGCTCGCACTGTGGTGGGAGAGACCAAGTGGATCGCCAGCTCCCAGATCACTGAGAGCTCGTCCAGCAGCAGCGTGGCAGGGTGAGAGAGGGAGGGAGAAAGAGGGTAGAGGGCAGTGCACTCTGAAAAATGAAGGTGGTTCTTGGTTTGGATGCACAATTCTAGGAAAAACCTTTACTTTACGCAGAGGTTCTTCAAACCCTAAAAAGGTTTTTACCTCATTCACAAAAATGGTTCTTTAAGGAACCGTCCATTGAAAGTGGTTCTTCTGAGGCATCACTCCAACATACCCTTTTTGGAAGCTTTATTTTTAGGACTGTAGAGGTACAATATGACGATATGTATCATTATCATAATAAATTATATCATAACACTGTCCTAAGCATGATGCAGATTTCGTCAGGATTTCTAGAACATTGGCAAACTGCTCAGAAAATAAAGATCCTGGTTTTGGTCCTAGAGATACACCACGATTCAGAGCTCAGCTCCAACCATAATCTAACTCACCTGATCCAGGTGCTGAAGGCTTTCAGAAGGATCTGAATATTATAGCCAGGTGTGATGGATCTGAATTCTCAAGGGTGGGAGATCTCTAAGACCAGGATTGGGCACCCCTGATTTAGAACATTCCTAGAGATTATGTACACAACAACCGGTGGTGTCACACTATCATATTGAAACTGTATAGTATCAAGGATCTGATTGAATGTTTAGTCCATGATGCCACTATATTTATTTTTCCAGGTTTAATTTTACATTTTAATAAAAATAAACAATCCTTGGCTTACATTTGTGAAGCTTCTCAGAGTAGGAGCACTGATCTAAGATCAGGTCACATCAGATCATGGAGTTTTATTCAGTGTTATATAAAAAATGTAAGCTGATCCTCAGTCAGTATTATTGTCAGTATTATTACTCTTAAGAGGTTTGATAAATAAGGCATGTTGTACTTATACTTTCTTTTTTTTACTCTTTAAAAAGGCTACCACAAAGGGTAGTGTAATGTAGGGGCTGAGGCAGGTCGCAAATGTGAAGTGACTTTATTAAGAACATTCTGATACTCATTGTCGTGGCTGGCAGGGGTCAACACACTGGCAGGCAGGAAAAGATGCAGATCAATATTCAGAAATAACAAAGACTCTCATGGGTCAAAACTAGTGAAAACTAAACACAGTAAACAGGCTCAGAGCTCAAGTGACAAACACAGACACTTTGCAAACACATGGTGGAAACAAAGGAGGATACAAAGCAGTCCAAAAGGAGCTGCAGGTGTATGGGAGAGGAGGAGGGTGGGTGGAGCCTGGGAGAGTCCAAGTTGAGTCTCCCTGGGGGGGAGACGTGACAGATACAGGGTGATTCAAAAAGATTCATCCAATTTCAAAGCGCCATATTTTTACAACCGTGAGGCGCCTAAGAACCAATCACATGCCAATTGAAAGAGGGGGTCATAGAGTTTCTGACCGTCACCGGAAGATGGCTCCCTTCAGTCTGCGAGGAGATGGCGACCCCTGAGCAGAAAGCGCTTTGCCTTCTCCACTTCAATAAGAGTGAATTCATCGTAACTGTGCAGCATGATTTTCGTCGGCAGTGAACCTCCAACAGCTCAGAGCGTTCGTCATTGGTTCCACAACACTGGATGATTTCCGAATTCGCATTAAAAGAGCTGTGAGTACAGTGACACCCGACATGCTTAATCGAGTATGGGATGAATTCGACTCCTCCTTGATGCTGTCCATACAGCTGGAGGAGGTTCATATTGAGCACTTGTAAAATTTCATAATGAACTTTATGCTCAGTTAAACCATTTACAATTTACTGCATTGTTCTGTAATGATTTACAAGTGAAATAAATCATTTTAAAATCGGATGAATCTTTTTGAATCACCCTGTAGCTTGAGCAATGCCATAGAAGAACCACTTTTGGTTACCTAAAGAATCATGTTTAAAAAAGATATTGTGAAGAGAAAAAAAAAAAGTGTGTAGAACCATCTAAAGCTTTAAAGAACCTTCGCATAATCAAAATGCCCTGTACTAATTTAAAGGTTCTTCCTGGAACTGTTACAATGTGTGGAGGCTCTTTAAACTTTAAAAGGTTCTTCACACTCACACATCTCATTTACAAAAATGCTTGTCTTGAGAACCATCCACTGAAAGTTTTTTAGGGAAACAAAAGTGCAACAACCATTTCTAACACTTTTATTTTTAAGACTGTACTGTTTTGTTGGTGCATTGACCTTCATCCTTTCTGACTTTTTCAAAATGTCAAAAACTGAAGATCAGGATGATAAACATGTATTGTTTATCACGTCTTCAAGCACCGCACTATTATATTTGTCATATTTCCCGCCCTGAGACAGGTGTATGGATGCGTATAAATATATATTTTAAAAATGCTTAGTACATAGGGTAGGTTTTATGTGCTTAAGATGTTGTTTGTGTTTGGCTCATCTCAGCATCAGATGAGTCCATTTAATAAATAATAAGTTTGAGAACATTCTGACCTGTTTTCCAGCTCCTTACTGAAATGCGAGAAAGAGAAAGTATGGGTATCATTAGATGTGCCTACTGGCTTTTCATTCCTCCAGCACCACCAGACTAAATGAACGTAGAACTAACTTTCTTATCCGATCGTTATTTCATGAGAAGTTTGTTTGGAGACTCATTGGTGACATCAGCATCATCTGTTTTGGTGCCAGAAATGTCTTATTTTTGCTTCTGTCTCGGCCAGCATAAACAGCCTGTGGGCATTGAGACTGCATGTTCGTTTTTAATGAATTACCAATTTTGCGCTCAGACATGCTGATTTAATTTAAGGCCAGGAGCTGCTCGAAGGCTGAGTTTAATTCCCTGTTTTAAGAGCAGGCTGTGTGATAGCTGACTCTTTGATTTTTCCATCTCTCCACATCTTTTTATGACCCCCCGCAGCCGGCTAGCAGGAAGAGTTGTGAATGCTGCAGCTGGCTTTAGGCCTCACAGCTGTTTGCTGTAATCAGAGTTGAACACGTAACGCAAAACTTTGTATTTATTTCTAACGCATCCTGTATACTTACCTGACTGCGTGTGACCACAAGTGCTTTAATCTCAAAGTGAGGGAGTGTGTTTGTGTGTGTCAGGGTTGGGAAATGTAAAAGGTCAGTGTCCAGTGGTGTGAACTGGTGTGTGTGCCATATTCTGAATACTGTGTGACATACTGTGCCCAAAAATGGTGAACCAGCTAAAAACAAAAGTTGTAATGCTCTTATCAAGCCAATAACTGGTAATTAGCTGGCTTCTTATTACTGCATTATTAAGCAATATCTATAGTGAGTTAAGCATTTTCTAGAGCACTTTTATCCATTTATTACACACTATAATCTATCTTTTCTAGGTGTCCTTTTTTAGGTGTCCATTAAGCTTTTTATTGAGCTTTATGAAGTCAATAGCTTGCAACAAACTTATCAAGCCAATTAAGATGGGAACAAACTGGCTTTCCATTACCCTAGTTCACCATAGTTATTGCTTAATAAAGCAGTTTTGAGCAGTTATACTGTCAAAAAATGGTCCTGTTCAGGTAAATTATAGTCCCTAAATGGAATAAGGAATATGGTACTGCTGTGTTCCCTAATTAAAGGTACGGAAGATGTACATTTGTGAGCACCACCCCAGTGACAGTGTTTGTACCCAGAAAGGTCCAGTTTGTTCTGAGAGTAAAATTAACAGCTACTGGCTTGATAAGGATTATTTAACACATTAAATGTTTAATTCAGCGTAGTCATTGCCTAATAAAGTAGTAATTAGCAGCAACGTAAAGGTATGGGTCAATAAAAAAAATCAAATTTACACGTTTTCCCACCTTGATGTAGTTGAGCAGCTGAGACATGTTTGGTGTCCGTATTGTGCTGCTTTGATTTGGTGCTGGACCTGCAGGACCAACAATGCTAACAAACATAAGCAGTCAATAGTCACCAAAACTGTTTCCGTAAATACATTCCCAAAACTTCTCTCAACTCACCCAAACTGCGTCCAGCCCTTCATAAAGATCACAGACTTGTTGATGCGGTTTAGGGCAAAGTATGACTTCTGTAATCTGAAAAAGATGAAAAAATGATCACAGCATATTAAGCAGGTATTTTAGACAGGTGTTGTGCCAAATTCCTCCCCCTTACAGAATCAGTCTCCTCTTCATGTGCATGCATGTCATGCAGACATATGGCCACTAGATTATGTCCAATATTTTTGTCATTTCAACTTATTGACATAATTAACATATAGCTTCAGTTTATAAATGCACAATTAAACAATTATTCATGAAAACAAACAAGAGAAATCACAAATGTAATCTGTAGCATCCATATACCTGCATGGTACAGTGCATGCTAAGGAGAGGCAGAGTTCAGCACAACACCCGTTATCTAAAGCTGCAGCGTCCAGCTACACTAAGTGTTTACTTTCGTAGCTCACAGGAAGTCATACTGTGCACTAAACCATATCGACAAGTCGTAATGAATTCCTGGATGTGGTATTGAGCGAGTTGAGAGAAGTTTTTGGAATGTAGATTTGAGTGACTATTGACTTGTAATGTTTGTTAGCAATGTTAGCCGCATAGCTTCAGTTTTAAGCTAAAGTAGCAAAGTTTAAACACCAAACATGTCTTGGCTAATCGACTACATTTGGTGTAAGTGGACAGTTGTGTAAATTAGATTTTTTCACCAAACCATCCACTTAAATTACAGTCACATTATAATCACTGGCCTGATAAAGCTTAATGAGGGTGTTACAAAGGCATTATGTGTCCCCTGTACTGAAGTTGTCCTGTGTGTTTCATGAAAAGCAGAATGCACAATATAAACTTTCATTTATTGTCATATCGTTACCATATTGTGGAAAATATAAATTTGAGATTATCTAAGCATAAATACACATAAATCGTTGCTGTATTTGTTTATGCATACACACACACACACACACACACACACACATATATATGTACACACACACATATACATATGTGCATGTATGTGTGTATGTGTGTCTCCATGAGCGTCTGCATCTATGTGTGTGTGGCTCGCTAAAGCTCCTCTGCTGTGTCCAGTGCTATCACGCTTATCATTAGCTTTAATGGAAGTTGGCCGATGGAGGTCCAGCTGTAGCGCTGCACTCTCAGGCCAGCAGAAATGCAAGGTGGCATTTTATAAAAGGCTGTTTATCAGCTTATTGCTTGGCTCTGCTAGAGCAAAGTACACCTACACAGAAGAGGCCACAGGCCCACAGGACTACACCCACTCCTGCTAATGTTACTGTCTCATCACTGCTGCAGAGGGAAGCTCATTACAGAGCAGCCTATATAGACTGCTGGAAGAGTGTGGCATTCAGTGTATTGTATCTATATGTAGACCCATTAATCAAATGGATAGGTGCCAATTTGCCTCACACTCATGGGGAATCTGTGGCTAAGCCAAAGCCGGGAAACTCTGGAAATCGCTTACGATCAGTAGATGTTGTTTTATGTCACGGTCAAAAGATGAAATCTGCTCAATATAATTATAGCTTTATCAACACCACTATTTTTCATCCTACCTTGAAGGTTTGTTCCACCGGTGAAGGTATATTGACTGTTTTGAATGCAACGGTAGCTGCATTGATTTCTCGTTATGTCCTTCTCTCCTGCAGACTCTCTCTGGATCACGGGGCTTCAGCCTCAGGAAAGGTGAGTGCTGCGTTTCTGCATCTGAACACAATGTTCTCTTGTGTTTCACTTGTAAACACACTGATTCTCACAGCAAGGCTGCTGTGTGGAGGCAACCCGGCACTGGTAAATATATCCCTGCAACTGGCTTAACATAGGCTTGTTTTTTGTGTTTATTCTTTTATAACTTACTTTTCCTTTCCTACACTTGTTGGCCATTTTATTCGATACAGCTACCATGTATGTGCAATCTGTGGCCCAGTTGTTTCACAATTTAATTAGAAAGGGATCACCATAGGACCACAGCTGACCAGATATCAGCGCCGGCTCTAGCCTTTTGGTTACTCTAAGCAGGATTTTTTGCCTCCTCTGTCTTGCTAGCTGATGTACTGTAAAATTAGAGCCTAACTTATAACAATAGCTCCTACAAGCATGTGCATTCCAACAAATTTTGATATTCACGTTTACAAAAGAGTTCACAAATGGATATTTGGTTACTCGCAGAGATAAACAAATAAAAAAACAACAAAAAAAATATTTTGGCTGAAATTAATGTGGAGTTGTTGCTTACCTTTTTTAGGTAGCAGCACTGGTTTTGCACAAAATTAGCACCATGCTGAGGAATACATTTCAAATCATATTATATTATTCAAAAATAGCCAATGAAAATGGGTAGGTGATCATGTTGGATGAGTAACATACCAGACTGTCTTACAGTCAGTGAAGACTTCTAATCTTCTACTGGTCTGTTTTTCCTCCTCAGTTTATTGTGCTAACATATTATTTTGTAAGACAAATATACCTTAACCGTTTATGGATCTAGCTGGGATCAGCGTAGCCTATTCAGTGATAAAAGCTGCTCCGTCTCATTCGCGTCCTTAACAAGTCATCCTTGGCAACGCACTCATATGAAGGCATTCATGTTTCATAATAGCAAAACATAACATACATGCATTTTACAGTTCTATTACATCATAAATCGCTACTTGACTGAATTGCTAGTCTGTATTTTTTCTCTATCTTCCTGTGATGAAATGTTATGAATACCAGAAAAATGATCTCAGTATTCAAATACTGGCACGTAAAATGGTTAACCAAATTCTAGTAGAATTTGTGTGATTCATTAACGGGTGAAAGGCCCTTAAACATATGTGTGCCATAGGCGGGACTTGACTTAAAAAATATATCCAAAGTGTGCGCAAACTTTTGTGCCATTAATGTGGTGACTGACAAGACCTTATTCACAGTACAGTTAAAAACACATTGCAAAATCATAAATGCACTGCAAACACAGAAAACACTTTCATCAACATGACTACCCAGGAGCCACGTTTTATGCAAACGTTCAAACGTTCACTGCAAATAAAGAAAACACATTCAACTTCGGAAACGCTGCAAAGCCAGTCACAACACAAGGAAAGTGAGCCGCAATACAATGGAAATGTTTCTGGAAGACTCAAGGGGCTCAAAGGGGAATATCTATGATGGAAAAATCACTGAGAGACGTAGATAAGACCACAGACACTCGGACACTCTCATCCCAGGTTCATGGTTAACCTCACTGGCTAGTTTGCCACCTGACATGTCACAGCTGTACTGTGGTAGTTCTCTGGTGTTACTAGTTTAATGTTTACACTCTACTGCTAATTCCCATTACGATACAGTGTTTGTAGTAATCTGCTCAAATAAAAATCAACTCACCTTTACCAGTGAATGTTTGTGCTGCATAGAACGTCTGAATGGCCGTGTCCTCTCTGAGTGTCCTCCAGAAACACCTCCGTTGTGTTGTGACTGGCTTATCAGTGTTTCTGAAGTTGCATGTGTTTTCTGTGTTTGCAGTGCGTTTATGAAATGTAGCGTCGTCATTTTGATAACAGTGTTGTCTGAGTTTGCAGCTTGTTTTTTCTTTGCAGTTTGCTGGGTCTTCTCAGCCACCGTGCATTAATATAATGATGTCAAACTCCAAGAAATGTTATTATTTTATACTAGACATTGTTTTCTGACTATCACAGTTTTTTGGATTTTACACTTTACCTTCTTACATTAATTCCTTCTCAGAACTAACTTGCCCTGACCCAGAAAAATACCATAGGGGTCTATTGTGAGGGGTCTGATGGCAGCATGCAGCAATATACATGTCCATTGTCATAGCTGCCACCAAAAATTGGTGATGAGCTGAAGAGAGCTTTACTGGTCATTTTTATCTGTTTAAGGTGGGGAAAAAGACACAAAGCACCATTTGGGTTCATGCTGTATTATAAGAGCACAAAACAAATAACATTTTGTAACGTTGGCATTGGAGGGCTTTTTTTTCTTTTGAGCAGTCAGATATTTGGTGGCTTGGGCCCCCCCCAGACCTTCTTGTAGCTACATGCCTGGTGTGTATATATATAGGCCCCTGATTTGTTTTCCCTTGATTTGTGTTTTAAACTCTTGTTCTCTAGTCCAGCATTATTGATATTGCCTCAACAAAGATGAAGTAGAGGTGAAGTATATTCAATGCTCAGGCTACATAATGGATTACATTCTGTCTGTTTGCATTGCTTTGATGACTAAAACAATGCCTGTACAATAATGTTCTTGGCTAACTAATTAAAATGCGAATGGGGTCTCAATCACGGGTCATCGGGTGGCTTATTGCAGACAAAATGTACTCTGTATTGATGAATCATAGGGTGAATTGCTGAATAATGTGAAATATGGAGATATTCTAGCAGAAAGGGAACTGGAGTAGTTTTGTAGGCTCTGGATAGCTGCTGGTTGTGACTGTCTGGCGTTCTTATGCTTATTACTTATTAAATAAGAGGAGAGAGAGATGCACCTGGTAGAAGTGCTTGAGACAGGGCTGTAAAATATTATATATTGGATTTTAGATTTTGGGTTTAGCTAATTGATAATTAGCAGGGTTGAATCAGATATGTTGACTCCTAGCTACAACAAAACCCAGTGATAACAGAAGCATGTTGTAATACGATATTGCAAAATAGCCATGGTCCACACATTTATGGCACATTTCTATAACTTAAGAATAACTCAGCTACTTTTTTTTTTTCATTTTCCTAGTTTGACCTTTCAGACCATCTGTAATTCCACCCTGAAGCCCAGCTAAGTGCACACTGGTGCTATGACTCCATTTCTGTATCTCTCTGGTTCAAAGACAGCCATTGATGACTCTCTTGATAAAACCAAAGTTTTTTCTTTCTATTACTTCGGTCATATAGCACCAGAGGACACCTTTGGAAGACAACCCTGGATGGTGCTCACAAGAAAACTATGTATAAACCCATAAACAGAAAACGAATAAAAGCAAGAGCAAAGTGAAAATCTCCATTTCTCTTTAAAACAAGACAAAACATAGTTGTGCAATTGCAGATGATTTGGAACATGCATGAACATTGGAAACTGCATTCACCTTGTTTTCATGTTCTCCCTGCATTTACACAATGAAAATGTTATCAAATTATTGAATGGCTATGGCTTTAACTAAATGCACTGCTTTACAAGTGGAAACAAATCTTTCTGTAGGGTAAAACTTGAGCAATTATGCAGTTAACAAATGTGGTTAATCGTGATTAAATACACAAAATGATGCGATTAATCTTGATTCATTATTTTAAATGTTTGACAGCCCTAATTGTTTTCCATGGAATTACTGGGTCTGTAATAAGCCTGAGGCTTTAAAGGGTTGATTCATTCTCACTCGTAGCTCATTGAAACAAGCAGTGAAATTCTACAAGAAATACAGATTCTACTTTGTGGTCATGAGTAGAAGAGAATATGTGTTATTATGATTTGAGTTTGCTGAAAAGTTGTCTTGTTTTTCAAAAAGACAAAGCACTTTTTACATTATTGCCATGTTTTTATATGACATAAAAACTAAGAAAGTCGGAAGTGCAGACTCAAAGCGCTCTATACAGTATTTCAATTGAAAATAAATGTAATGTTAAATAACTCACTATGTAATTAAATATGTAAGTACATAATGATAACATTGCAAAACTAAAAAGTATTTTTTTGCATCTTTGCCATATTATCATTAGTGCAGTAGTGCAGACTCAAAAAATGTCCATACCCGATGTAAATCAAATGTAAATGTAATCTATTACATAACTCACTATGTAATTAAATATGTAATTACATAGTTATGACATAAAAATAAAGTACTTGGTAGTGCAGGATCAAAGTTGTTGATAAAGTTTGTATATAAAATGTAAATGTAGGCTATTGCATAACTTGCTAGGTAATTACATATGTAATTACATAATTATAACATAGCAAAACTAAAAAATATTTTTTACATCTTTGCCTTATTATCATTAGTGCAGTAGTGCAGACTCAAAAATGTCCATATGTAATTACATAGTTATGACATAAAAACAAAGAAGTTGGTAGTGCAGGATCAAAGCTATTGATAAAGTATGTAAATGAAATGTGAATGTATTCTACTGCTTAACTTGCTATGTAATTAAATATGTAATTACATAATTACAGCATAATGAAAGTAAAAACTCTCAACCACTGTGGGTTAAGATATGCCAAGAGCAACAGGAGACACAGTAAGAGCAGAGGAACTAAGAATGAGTGAGCAGAACATGGCTCTTCCTCCATTACAGTCTTAGACTGAGCAGCAGAGCATGACCTCGTGTGTGTTATGTGAGGTAACATGCTCTGATGCCTGTCTGCGTAAAAGGCTGTGTCGGGTTGTCAACGTAGGTGGGCTTTGATCCCTCAGAGATGTTACTCATGCTGATAAACCCTGACACATCAGCTTCCAAAGCAGCCACACACCCTTTGCATCCGCACCCTGATCAGTGTGTCAGTGTGTGTGGGGGGAGGAGGGAGCAATCAGGTTAAACACATGAGAATGAACAGAGGAGAGTTAGAGGGAAAGAGAGTGAGACAGAAAAGGAAAGTGGGAGGGGCGTGTTGGTAAGTGATAGGAAGAGAGAGAGACGGGAAAGAGAGCTTGTGGCAGAGCAGTGTAATACAAGGTGACCCACCTGATGAATAGTGTTTTACAA